ATTGCTCAGTATAAATACTCTGAAGAATGTGAGGACAGAGGAATATATCTCAACATAATGAAGACAAACCCCCCAAATCTCAACCTAACATTGTCCACAAGGAGTCACCTGCCATCATTGAGCAGTGTTAGGGTAGAGAAAAACGTGCCCACTCCTTCAACACTAACTCTTCACAGTGGGCGAGTGCTTACCCATAACAAGAACAGAGAAAATATAATGTGTCAAAGAAATTAAGAAGGCAAGTTCTCAAAAACTATGAGACAAATTGAATTCTCCAAATCCTTTAAATGTTCCCCAAGAAATCTAAGATCTAATAATTCATATAAAATGTACACACAGCATCACTTGGTTTCGAATATACCAACAGAAGATGCTGAGAAGCAGATTACCCAGTGTGTAAAAATATCTTTGAATCCCAGATATAGCATTCAACCAGCTGAAAGTGCTATGTATGCTACTAGTTGAGAAGACTCTTTGATATCTGTCCTCAGCATACACTGTGTGCTAATACCAACTTGCCAGACAAGGTATGTCTTTCAGTGTAACGGTGCTAAGAGTATTCTGTGAGTTTCTAGATTGATGTAAGGTAGCTCCATAAAGAAAGGACACAGATAGTACTGCAAAGCTGGCCAAAAGCCAATGGCAGAAAAAGGCACAGTCCTAGGAAGACATCCTGTCTTAGGATATTGCTACATGTTCAAATATTAAAACTTCACCTAATGTTTCTGCATTTGTCTCAGCCTGAGTCTGCCTTTTTCCTGGTTGAAGGAAACTTTGCAACAAGAATCAGTTTTTTTCAGAGACTGCTGAGTACCAAGCTAGATCCAAATCATAGGAAACATTTACTGGAGAGTTGGGAAAAATATCAAAGCTACACGATGTAGACTTAATTATGGTAAACTATGATGTAATTTACATTGCAATTTGAATTATGAATACATGACAGCCTGGTCACTTACACAAAACCTTCCCCAAAACATACAGGAAATACGAGGTGGACTAATGAGTAGAAAATCTGGATAACCAGGGATTGGACAGAGGACAATGAGTTCAAGTTCTCTGGGGAGCCCCAGTTGCATAAGCCATTCTCTCTTAAAAATGCAAGTGGTAGAAAAGGGGCATTGGAAAGCATGGATGAAAATAACTTGCAGAGCTTAGGAATAGCCACAGTATTTTTTTAAAATTAATACAAATATCCTACAAAATATTTTTCTGTAAAGATTCTTTGTTAAACACTCTACATCCAAATATTGTGCCCCCTACTCCCAGTATCTCCTCTCGAAGATCCTCCCTCCATTGCTCCCTCCTCACCCTCACACTACCCCTTCACACACCCCTGCACATCAAGGCACTGCTTTACTAGGCACATCCTCTACTACTGAGGCCAGACAAGGCAGCTCAATTAGGAGACGGCATCCACAGGCAAGCAGGCAACAGAATCAGAGACAGCTCCCACATTAGTTGTTGGGTTACCTGCATGAAGACTAAGTTCGGCTTCTGCTACATATCTGCAGGTGGCTTAGGTCCAGCTGGTGCTCGCTCGCTCTTTGGTGGTTCAGTCTCCGGGAGAGGCGAGGGTTAGTTGATTCTCTTGGTCTTCCTATGGAATCTTCTTTGGGTCTCTGAATTCTTCCCTCAACTCTTCCATAAGAGTCCCTGAGCTCCATTTGCTTTTATATTATTTATTTACATCCCAAACATTGTCCCCCCCTTCACAGTCAACCCCTCACAGAGTCCCTCCTCTCATCCCCCTCCCCTTCTGAGAGGGAGGGTGTCTCCTGGATATCAGTACATCCTGGTACATCAAGTCACTACAGAATTTGGACATTCTCTCCTACTGAAGCCAGACAAGGCAGCCATGTTGGAGAATGGATTCCAGTCATGCTACAGCTTTAGGGACAGACCCCACTCCAGTTGTTGGGAGACCCACACACAGACTGAGCTGCATTTTTTCTACTCGTTTCAGGGAATGCAGTTCAGACCATGTATGCTCTTTTATTGGTGGCTCCATCTCTGCAAACTCCCAGGGGTTTAGATTAGTTGACTATGTTGGTTTTTTTGGTCAGTTCCTATCCCATTTAGGGCCTTCAATCCTTCCCTCAACTTTTAAGAGTCCCCAACTTCCTTCCATTGTTCAGCTGTGGGTGTCTGCATCTATTTCTGTCAGATGCTGGGTAGAGCCTCTCAGAGGATAGTTATGCTAGGCTCCTGTCTGCAAGCATAACAGAGTATCATTAATAGTACCAGTGTTGGTGTTTGCCTATGGGATGGGTCTCAAGTTGGCCTGGTTATTGATCAGCCATTATTTTCAGCTCCATCCTTGTCCCTGAATTTCTCTTAAGCATCACAAACTTTGGGTCAAAAGTTTTGTGTGTAGGTTGGAGTCCTTATCCTTTCACTGGGTGGTTACTGCGTGGGTATAGGAGGCTTCTTCAGGTTCCATGTCCCCACTGTTAGGCATTTTTGCTAAGGACATGCATCCCCATCCCAGGTCTCTGAGACTTCCTAGAGATTTCCCCACCCTCCATTCATTCTCTAGGCCCTCTGTCTTGTCTGTTCCCACATCTGATTCTGAGCTCCCCTTCCAATTCCCCTCTGAAACCCAGTTCCTTCCCTATCCCTGCCTTTTGTGACTACTTTATTCTCCTTTCTAAGTGAAATTCAAATTTCCTGGCTTGGGCCTTCTTTTTTGTTGAACTTCTTTGTATCTCTGCGGCACATTATGAGTCTGCTGTATTTATGACTTATACATACTTAACACTGAGTATATACCATGCATGCCCTTTTGGGTCTCAGTTACCTCACTCAGGATAACTTCTAGTTCCATCCATTTGCCTGCAAAACTCATGATATCCTTGTTTTTAAAAGCTGCATAGTATTCTATTATGTAAATGAAATGTTTTCTGTATCCATTCCTTCATTGAGGGACATCAGGACAGTTGTCGGTTTCTATTAGGAATAAAGCTGCTAAGAACATAGTGGAGCGCATCATTTTGGTATGGTATAACATCTTTTGAGTATATGTCAAGGACCCTTATAGCTGCCTGTTGCTGAAAATTTTAATATCAATCTGGTGTTTCTACCATGTCTTTGACCATTTAGTTCCCAGATAAAGACACATAACTTTTATTATTTACAATAAGCCTTAATCACCCCAAGAACTGGACAGATATGCAAACAGAATCTACTTTATACTATTAGAATCTACTATTGATAACACCAAGTTATTACTGTTTCATCTGGGCTGCTCTTAACTCTAATTGGATAGCCCCGAGGACCCTGTTTTCCTAACTATAATGTCTCTTGTTCCTCCTTCTCCTTCCTCTCCCACTTGTTTCTCCTCCAACCCCAAATCCCAGGAACCCCAAACCCTACAGTTATTGCCTGTTGGCATCTTCATTCACTAATCAAAAATAACTTGGGGGGAGGGGTAAGGTTACATAGTGTCTCATGGATCTATGTGTGGACTCTCATCTCTGGGGCTGGCACTTAGTGTTACAATACATAGCAAAAGACCAAACCTCAACTCAGGCTTCAGGCAGAAATATTTCCAATTTTCTGAGATTTCCAGAGTGCTTGTACAGGATTGCAATCCCACCAACAATGGAGTTTTCTGCTTTCTCCACATCCTAGCTAGCATGTGCTGTCCCTTGAGTTTTTGATCATACCCATTCTGGTTGGTATTTTTGTGATGACTAAAAATGCTGAGCATTTCTTTATGAACTTCTCAGCCATTCAAGATTCCTCTGGTTAAGAATTCTTTTTAGCTCTCTGCCCCATTTTTAACTGGGTTATTTTTTTTTATTATTTATTTATTTAATTATTTTTTGCTGGAATCTAACTTCTTGAGCTCTTTATATATTTTGGATATTAGTTCTCTGTTGGATGTAGGGTTAGAGAAGATCTCTTCCTTATCTGTAGGCAGCCCATTTGTCCTATTTACAGTGTACTTTGCCTTACAGAAGCTTCTCAGTTTCATGAAGTACCATTTATCAATTGTTAATCTTAGAGCCTGAGCAATTGGTGTTTTCTTCAGGACACTGTCTCTTCTACCACAGTGTTCAAGGCTATTTCCCATTTTCTCTTCTATTAGATTTAGTTTATCCAGTTTTGTACCAAGGTCCTTGAACCACTTGCACAGTGATAAATACATAATTATTTGCATGTTCTACATGCATAAATTCAGTTAGATAAACACCATTTGTTGAAGACGCTCTCTTTTTTTCCCATTGTATTGCCTTGGCTTCTTTGTCGAAAACAAAGTGTCCACAGTTCTGTGTGTTTCTTTGTGTGTTTCTTTCTGGGTTTTTGATTAAATTCCATTGATCAACCTCTCTGTGTCTATACAAATACCATACAGTTTTTTATTACTACTGCTCTCCAGTACAGGTTCACAGATGGTGACTACTCCAGTTCTTTTAATGTTTAGGATTGTTTTAGCTATTCTGGGTGTTTTGTACTTCCATATGAACACAAGAATTTCTCTTTCCAAGTCTTCAAAAATTGCATTGGATTTGATGGGAATTGCATTGAATTTGTGGATTGCTTTTGGTAAGATGGCCATTTTTAATATGTTGCTTCTACCAATCCATGAGCATGGGAAATCGTTGAAGTTTCTCACATCTATTTTGAGAGGTGTGTTAATCAACCTTAATCAATTTCCTTTTCCAATGAATTATTTCAGTCTCCAAGCACTGTTTCACAGTACCACATTCTTCTGGCTTTCTCACTTCGTCTCCATTGTGAAATATTTAAGAAAGAACAAGTAAATTTTTCATTGTCACATTTTCAGTTTCTATCAGCAAAAATATTTGACAGCTTCTAAGATTTGAAGGCTTTCACAAGTTTCTCATGTTCATCATAATTTTCTAGTGTGGAGCCTCAAGTGTCATGAAAAATACCACTTGGATAAAGCACATGCCACATTTTTCTCCTGTGAAAAGTTTTTTCACCACTCTAAATTTCTAGATATATTGTTACACATGAGATTCTGGAAAAGGCCTTTTCTCACATGTTTTATTTGTCAGTTTCTCTCCTGTATCGTCTCTGAAGTATTCTATGAGATGAGCCAAGAGTAAAGTATCTGCACATTTACAACATTTGTAACATCTCTCTACTATAGGTCTTCTCTGTTAAGTTCTAAGAGTCTATCTTGGTAAAAGATTTGTCTCATTCCCTTCATTTCTAAAGTTTCCCTCCTGTATGAAGTCTCTGATGTCTTTTAAGACTGCCTTTGTGGGTAAAGCATTTGTCACATTCACTACATCTGTAAGGTTTCTCTCCTGTATGAATTCTCTGATGACTTCCAAGATAGCCTTTGTTGGTAAAGCATTTGTCACATTCACTACATTTGTAAGGATTCTCTCCAGTATGAAGTCTCTGATGACTACTAAGACTGCATTTGTGTGTAAAGCATTTGTCACATTCACTACATTTGTAAGGTTTCTCTCCTGTATGAACACTCTGATGAGTTCTAAGATACAATTTTTTGATAAAAGACTTGTCACATTCACTACATTTGTAAGGTTTTTCTCCTGTGTGAATTCTCTGATGAATTCTAAGACCACTTTTGAGGGTATAACTTTTGTCACATTCACTACATTTGTAAGGATTCTCTCCTGTATGAATTCGCTGATGAGTTACAAGACTGTATTTTTGAATAAAGCATTTGTCACATTCACTACATTTGTAGGGTTTCTCTCCAGTATGAATTCTCTGATGAGTCATAAGATGGCCTTTCTGGGTGAAAGATTTTTCACATTCACTACATTTGTAAGGTTTCTCTCCTGTATGAATTCTCTGATGAATTCTAAGCTCTCCTTTTAGAGTAAAGCATTTGCCACATGCACTACATTTGTAAGGTTTCTCTCCTGAATGAATTTTCTGATGAATATTTAGAATGCATTTATGGGTAAAGCATTTGTCACATTCACTACACTTGTAAGGTTTTTCTCCTGTATGAATTCTCTGATGTCTTTTTAGACTGCATTTCTGGGTAAAAGATTTGATACATTCATTGCATTTGTAAGGTTTCCCTCCTGTATGAATTCGCTGATGAATTCTAAGATCACTTTTAAGGACAAAGTGTCTGTCACATTCACTACATTTACAAAGTTTCTCTCCTGTGTGACTTCTCTGATGACTTCTAAAATCGCATATCTGGGTGAAGCATTTCTCACATTCACTACATTTGTAAGGTTTCTTTCCACTATTGGTTTGTTTCAGTGTGCGTTTTTCTTTAGACTCAAAAATCTTCTCAAACTCTGTACCATTGTATTCTTTCTTTTTTACGTGTATTCCTTGATTTAGACTAATGATAGAACACAAATTTAAACAGTTGGCACAGTTTTTATATTTACAAGGTTCTCTGGTGTTTCCAGTTCTATGTCTGTTTAGCTTTGATGATTCAACAGTTGTATCTCTGAAGTTAATTTTATAAAGAGTATTTTGGGTGGATTCATGAATGATTTTGGCAAGCTCATGGCATTTATAAGACTTCTCTTGGATATTCACATGCTGGTGGACAATACGCTGTAGGTCTTCATGCAAGACATTCTTATATTTGTGACACATGTGGTGATTCTCTGAAAAAACTGCAGAGATGACAGGGATTAATAAGTGAGTAAAACAATATACCATGTTTCCTGAAATTTTTTAAGATAAATTAGCCACTCTCAAGGAGAGGGCTCTTAAGAGAGGTCTTCTTGTTTTACAACCTTTACATGGATGCTCAGTAGAACCTGAAATCTCATCTATATCAAATGACAGGAAATGATAATAACCTAATTTTATTTACATACTACTTCCCAGAAAATTGGGCAAATAAGTGACTGAGCATTGAAGAACTTTGAGAAAAGACCTCTATGAAAGATCATATAAACAGTGTTTCTCTGTTTCCTTGTTTATATTTTATGACAGTGACACTTTGTAGCTTTGGTCAGCTAGAAACTCAGTATACAATCCACACTGGCATGGAACTCCCGACAGAAAGATCATGCTGTACCAGGACTAAACATAGTGACCACAAGTCATAAAGTAAATAAGAAAGAACAAAATTCTCACAACCAACAGCTTTTTCTCTATGTAAAACATTTTGCATTTTAAATTCATAACTAACTGAAGACTTTCATGCAATCCTGAAATTAAAATATTCTAATTATATGTGTGGCAATTCATTTTCTTGCTCTGAATATTCAATTGTTTTTGAACTTGGAAGATTTGATTAAAAGTAGATAAAGTATATGGAGAAATTACACAGAATACAACACTGGATTCTCTTTCAAAGAATGGAGAGAAATTGAAAGGAATCACAATGAACACGTTTTGTTGGTAACCATAATTTCTCTTATTCTGGGAGTTTCTAGATATTTCATAGAGTTTACATAAACAGACAGTAGGTAAATTCAAAGAAGGAATCAGTATTCTTACCCACAAAAAACAGATTGTTGTAATTCTCCAACATCACATTCATGTACAATGCCCTCTGAGAACTGTCAAGATATTCCCATTCCTCCTGTGAGAAGTCCACAGCCACATCCTTGAATGTTAACAGACCCTATAATGGAAAACTATCTGCTTACCATATGCTATGGACAAAAGTGTTTTCTAGGGGTGCTCTTATATAGACAATGGATAGAATGACATTTTATATTTCTGACATTTATAAGTTCTGTCCCCTTCATGAACTTTCAAAAGTCTTCTAAGATTTTAGCAACAGAGAAAGGAGTTTTGACTATCAACTAATTTGAAAATTCGTCTGCAGTTTGGATTCTATGATTCATAGTTGTTTTCCAACACCCAAATTCAACAGCACAAAAGATATTTAATCCCAATTCCTTGAAATCCAACACTCTTCTGAAATTTACAGGCTAGAGGAATACACAGAACATATGCAACAACTCAGCAAATGTACCAATATACATAAACGTAAATTGAAATTTAATTTGAATAAAAGATGCTACGTAAAATAGTCAAAGTCTTTGTTGTATTTTCTATTTCTCTGAAACGTGATGACATAATAGAATCATGATCAGCAAACTTTTAGGGCATATAACATACACATTTGAAGCCTGATGCAGGAATATATCTTCATGAAGTATGAGTTGCTATCGAACAGAATCACAGATGGTCAAGTTAAAATGAGTAAACTGTGCTTTTTAATCCTATAACTGTCAGCTATGCTCAATTATGGATAATATATCAATCCTGTCTACAGCTGGGTCTCACCTGACTCTATTCTAAAATGTGCAGTTGACATCCTGAGGCCTAAGGACAATGTTGAGCCCTGCCTACAACAAAGAGGTAGAATATGAAATACAGAACTGCTGGACTAATTAACAATCATAATTTTTTCTGTAAACATAAATGGAGTGTAAAATCACTGAAACCATTCAACTTTCCAAATGGCACACAGAATCAATTACTTACTGATGTTATTTCATGACACCATTAACAACTGAAAAGTGAATAAAGTTTTCCCAAAGTTGACATATGCAACACAGATTATAACAACTTCATAAACTCCACATGGTCTTTCAGTAAAGAATAGTTATTGATGTGTAGACAAATAGCATATACCTATCTATGTGTAGATAAATAGCATATGTGACAGTGCATTCAGATGAAATAGAATCAATTTCTTTTATCAAATCAAGTGCTTAAATTGAGAGAGAATTATACCAATTGTTCAGGAATTTTTTAAAACATTGTTCATGAGATTGACTTAACTGAAAATTTGAATCTTACAATTTTAACTTTATTATTATTTTTTTCTTTCTATACACATTGCAGCTCACTACCATACCTGACTTCAGTCCCAAGGGCTTACTGCACAACTTAGAGATTCAGGGGTATAATATATCACTCAATGTATATAAAAATATGCAGATGAACACACATAGTTAAATAAAATATTACTGTAAAGAAACATTGACACAATCCCTCAGAGTTTTTACCTATATGATACAAAGCTTGTGGGGAGAGAAGAAAATAAGGTAAATGAAGTATTATTCATGATAAAGAAAAGAAAATAAGAAGGGCACTAATTGATGCTTGAAATTTTATGGTTTATGTACTGTACCAAGGCACTACTCTCCAGAAAATTCTTATTAATATATTCCATGTTCTGCAATACAAATGTAGTGAGTACTCTTTACACCACTTCTAAAAAAAAAAAAAAATGAAGCGACGGGAATAGAAAATAGTTATCTGTATACTGAGAACTTACCACATTAAGCATTGGGCAGACTCTCCTAAGACAAACAGATTTCACAGGTCAGCACACCCATGATCACTGTGTGACATAAAATGCCGAAAAAGAGAATATTGCAATCTTTATCTCTTCCCCAAAACATCAATATTATGGTAAGAGAAAGCAACATATCTCTTCAATATTCTATGCCTCTAGGGAGCTGAAATATTACTATTAGGATTCAAGACAGTGAGTGTATTCTAATTCTACAAGTCCATAAATTCCACTCTTTGATATATTGCTCAGTGTTTCATTTTCCAATCATGTGCAGATCCACACTCATGACATTGTTCCTGGAAACATGATTACTCCTGAAATGGAATTTATGTGGCACAGGAGACCTTCCTTTCCCACTAATACTAAAGAACACAAGTCCATGCAATGCAGAAACTAGCCTAAATATATTTTTTGAGCATCATTTACAATACATTCTCCTTAAGAACTGCAGGTCTTCAGTACTTGATAATTTATGTCCTCTCAGTATAAAATCCAGTGAAAATATAATGGACAAGGCTCTGCTTGTCTTATTATAAGTGAAAGATCTAAAGGGTTAGTTGATTATTGGAAAACAAGAACAAAGATAAATCACAAAATACAAACACTTTAGGTAACATTAACAGAGGTAGAAAAATACATTCTTGAATGGTTTAAAAAAAAACAAGAATATTTCAAAGAAATGTGGACAGGACACTGACCTTGGTAACATTTAGCAGAGAAGCATTCATCTTCGTGTTCCTCTCTGAGTTCCTGTTTCAGGAATACAGACTGGAATAATTATTGAAATTTCACAATAAATGTTTCAGAATTAGAAGCTAAAATCAATATAACTCTGTTATTGATTTGCTAAACCATATAAAAAGACATAAAACTAAAATGATACCAGAATACTTAATCAACATTCCGACAGAGAGCGTGGAATGATATATTAAATGTAGTAAGGAAAATGACTATAATCTCAGGCCTTTTTCAAACCTCAGCAGGCAACAGACACAAACATAGAATACATGTATACCTGCTGCAAAACATTACTCAGGGTTATTACTGGGAACTTATCTTCCAGGGACTGGAGTCAGGAAGAAATGACTAGTGGTTACTAAAATGGACGCCTAGCATTAAATGGAGTTTCATTAGCCATCACGCTAGTATATAACCCTTAAGTCACATTTCATTTCATTCTACCTGGAAGATACATCAATTTTCCTTGTGTGTCCTGTTGCCTTAGAGTACAGACACGGTTTTCTCAAACTGACAAATTGTCATTAGATCTAGATATAGCCATTTTCATCATCTAAGAAGTCTTCACATTGTTCCTGAGGAAAAATGTACCTTTCCAATTTATTCTTTCTTTTAATGTGTACCTATTTTCTAAGTCTCATGCACACTTTTGTGTGAAAATACTAATCACTTGAAATTCATGTGAATGCATTCATAAGTAGATATTTCAATTGAGGAAAAACATGTCTTTAAGTGGAATGTCCATGTCCTACATGTTCTAAGCCAATGCTTCTCCACTTTTTCAATACTGCGACCTTCTAATACAGTACCAGGAACCCATAAGTTGATGTGGGAGACACACCTGTATATTGATACAGGTATGGTCTATCAGTTCCTAAGATCATCAGAATTATGTGTTTTATGGTAATCTTAGGCAACCCCTGTGAAAGGGTCAATTGACCCCAATGAGATGACAACACACAAGTTGAGAACTATTCTTCTCAATGTTAATGCAGAATCATCAAGAAGCAGGATGGCAGAAACTCTTTGATGGCTGCTACATGTAAGAGATGTACACAGAGATAAAGTGAGTCATTTCAGGGTATGACTTTGGAATGATTCACTCGTTATATCAGATATGTCAAAATCCTATCATGGTTGGAAATATCTTTTACAACATGCAAATGCCTATGTCTTGGTATTGTTCTAGGGAGTTCTCATGTTCCCAATTGACTGAGAACCTTTAGTTCCTGGCTCTCATTGGGCTGGTTATACCTGCAGGGGATGGGGAGACCCCTAGACAGTCTCAGAGACCTAGGATCTGAGAGGCTCAAAGGACTCAGTGGGTATGACCTTAGCCAAAATACCCAACAATGGGGAGATGGAACCTGAAGAGACCACCTACAGTAGATAGACATGGCCCCTATTTGAGACAGGGTTCACCCACCCATCTTCAAAATTCTCAACCCAGAATTGTTTCTGTCTAACGGAAATACAGGAGCAAAAATGGAGCAGAGACTGAAGGAAAGACCATCCAGTGACCAGCCCAACTTGAGATGCATCCCATGCATAGACACTAAAACCGGATGCCATGCTGTGCTTGCAGACAGGAGCCTAACATGCTTGTCCTCTGAGAGGCTCTACCAGCAGCTGACTGAGACAGATGCAATTACTAACAGCCAACCATTTGTCTGATGTTGGAACCCCTGTAGAAGAGTTAGGGGAAGGACTGAAAGAGCTGAAAAGGATTGCAACTCCATAGGAAGAACGAAAGTATTAACTAACCAGAATGGCTCAGGGTGTTCAGAGACTAAACCACCAACCAAAGAGCATAGGTAGGCTGGTCCATGGGCCCCGACACATATGTACCAGAGGACTTCATTGTCTGGCCTCAGTACGAGAGAATGTTCCTAACCCTGTAGAAACTTGATGCCCCAAGGAAGGGGGATGCTGATGCGGATGAGGTTGGGCTGAGTTTAGGGGGAAGCACCCTCTCAGAAGTAAAGGGGCATGGGGTGAAGAACTCAGGGAGGGGGTACACATTTGGAATGTAAATAAATACAATCATTTAAAATTTAAAATGGAGTACAGACCTAAACAGAGAATACTCAACAGAGGAATCTTGAATGGCTGAGAAACACTTAAAGAAATATTCAGCCTTTGATCCCAGCACTTGGGAGGCAGAGGCAGGTGGATTTCTGAGTTCGAGGCCAGCCTGATCTACAGAGTGAGTTCCAGGACAACCAGGGCTACACAGAGAAATCCTGTCTCAAAAAAACAAAAAAAAAAAAAACAAAGAAACAAAAACAAAACAAAAAAAAAAGAAAGAAAAGGAATATTCAAAGTCCTTAGTCATCAGGGAAATGTAAATGAAAATGACTCTGAGGTTCCATCTTACACATATCAGAATGGCTAAGATCAAAAACTCATGGGGTAGCACATGCTGGCAAGGATGTGGAGCAAGGGGAACATTTCTCCATTGCTGGTAGGAGTGCAAACTTATACAACCACTTTGGAAATCAATTTGGCTTTTCCTCAGAAAACTGGGAATAGCTCTACTTCATGGCCCAGCTATACCACTCCTGGGCATATACCTAAAAGATGATCCAACATCTCACAAGACGCTTGCTCAATTATGTTCACAGTAGATTTATGAAACTGGAAACAATTTAGATGTCCCTCAGTTGAAGAATGGATAAAGAAAATGTGGTACATCTACACAATAGAATACTTTTTGCTCTTTTAGAGTCTCTGTTGAGAAGTCTGGTATAATTCTGATAGGTCTGCCTTTACATGTTAATTGGCTTTTTTTCCCCTTACCACTTTTAATATTCTTTCTTTATTCTGTGCATTGAGTGTTTTGATTATTATGTGACAGGAGGAATTTCTTTTCTGGTCGAATCTATTTGGTGTTCTGTAGGCTTCTTGGACATTTATGGCCATCTCTTTCTTTAGGGTAGAGAAGTTTTCTTCTATGATTCTAAAATGTTTCCTGGCCCTTTGCATTAGGAATCTTCTCTCTCTTCTATTGCTATTATTCTTAGGTTTGGTCTTTTCATTGTGTCCCAGATTTCCTGGATGTTTTGGGTTAGGAGCTTTGTACACTTTGTATTTTCTTTAACTGTTATGTCAATATCTTCTATGGTATCTTCTATGCCTGAGATGCTCTCTTCTATCTCTTGAATTCTGTTGGTGATGCTTGCATCCGTGCCTCCTAATCTCTTTCCTAAGTTGTTCGTCTCCGGGGTTGCCTCCATTGGTGTTTTCTTTATTGTTTCTATTTCCATTTTTAGGACTCAGGTGACAATAGATGCTGACAAATATTTGGAGAAAGAAAAACACGCTTCCATTGTTGGTGAGATTGCAAGCTGGTACAACCACATTGGAAATCAATCTGGCAGTTCCTCAGAAAATTGGAAATACATCTTCCTGAAGACCCAGCTATACCACTTCTGGGCATATTCTCAAAAAAAATGTTCTACCATATAACAAGGACACCTGCTCAACTATGTTCATAGATGCCTCATTTCTAAAAGCCAGAAGCTGGAAGCATTTGTGCCTTCTAATATCTCTCCTAAGTTGTTCATCTCCAGGGTTGCCTCCATTTGTGTTTTCTTTAATTGTTTCTATTTCTTTATTGTTATCTCTTTATTGTTTCATTCAGATGTCCCTCAACAGAAGAATGGATACAGAAAATGTGGTACATTTACACGAAAAGCCCTGCAATAAGAAAATGTCATTTAAACACTAAGGTGTTCTCAGTATTAGAGTTTGTTGAATAATGAACTCAAATCATTAGTACAACGATCATATAACAATATATCAATTGCCACTGAAGCAAGGATGATAGACATGAGACAGGAAACAGTAGAAACCTAGGTCTCTAGGCTGTCCCTTAAGAATCTGGAGATTGTAACCCACTGGACAGACTTCTGGGTGCCAATTTCAGGTATTCCATGAATAGAGGCTCCTCTGCTTGATGACCTTTATATGACTGTCTTAGTTTGGGTTTTATTGCTGTGAACAGACACCATGACCAAGGCAACTTTTATAAGACAACATTTAGTTGGGGATGGCTTACAGGTTCAGAGATTCAGTCCAGTATCATCAGGAGCATGACAGCATCCAGACAGGCATGGTGCAGGCTGAGCTGAGAGTTCTATGTTTTCATCTAAAGACTGCCAACAGAATAGTCACTCCAGGAAGCAAGGATGAAGGTCTTTACACCCACAACCACAATGACACATCTACTCCAGCAAGGCCACACCTACTCGAACAGGGCCACACCTTCTAATAGTGTCACTCCCTGGGCCAAGCCTATACAAACCATAACAATGGCTTTCCTAATTATTCACAGATAACCAGTGCCATGGCAAATGTTAACATACACAATTGAAAGACAGCTCACACCGTACCCTTTATATACTGTCATTATATACAATTCTGGTCTGTGATGGCATCAGGCATGGGAAGTCTGCAGAGCACGTCCATGTCAGCCTGACAGCTGGAGCTGTGGAAAGTACCCTGTGAATGTGAGACTGATGGGTACCAGTGGGACAGGAACAAGCACTTTATTACAATCAGGATGGAGAAATGAAGCAGAGCCTATGTTGGCTAGGAAAACTCAGCAGAGTTTGGGAACATGCATGTAGAGAGCTAGGTCCTGGGAGCCAGGTTACCTGAACCAGGGCAGGATGGGAAACTCAGCATTCCCACAGGGTCCTCCAGGAGCTCTGCTGTTAGGAATCAAGACACAGGATCTCCCAGGGAAGTGAGAACTCCTCGGTAGTAAGACAGCTTGTGAGGTGACCTAGGACAGTCCTCAGTCCTCAGTGAATTCTGAGAGGGGCATAGGTAGTGAGTGGAGTTGTGAGGATGGGAAACTAGAAGATGGAATGATGGCACTAGAACAGGATGGTGATCAATTTTGGTGCTGTGGGGTAAGTCACTAGCTCTCAAAATTATGTAGTGAGTATCTGCTCATGCTGGCAAACCTTAGATTCTATAAACTGGGGTTTATCTGGACTCTTCAATACCTTACTGTCATCAGGATATTTACAGAAGAATAATCCGGTAGAGGATTTGCATTATCTATTGTTTGCAAACAGAGTTCTCATGCTGTTGTGGTGCTAACAAAACCCTGAAATATAAATTCTTGCATGCTTTCTAACTCATCTGTCCCACCACGCACCTATTCAAGAGAGTGGCTCCAAGCATCCGCCTCTGTATTTGTCAGGTGGTGGAGAGGCAGGGGGAGGGGGAATGGGATAGGGAGTTCTGGAGGGGAGACCTGGAAAAGGGATAACGTTTGAAATGTAAATAAAGAAAAATATCCAATAAAAGAAAAAAAATAGAGAGTGGACTTTGCCACTAGGACTGGGCATCCCATGAGAGCAGTTTAGAAATTAATCCCACGAGGAACCAATAAAGATTTGAAAGAATCAGAAAACATACTTTACAAAGCTACACACTTATGGTCCAAAACACTAACATTTACTAAGCAAACACCCACAGGCACCTCACATGCTTGTTACCTGCCTACACCAGATCTAGATCTAGTAGGATGCTGTACCCATTACCTGCACTCCATAGCCTAGATTATCAATCAACCCTTAAGTGAAATATCTCACATTGAAAACCTCACATCCTGACCTAAAGCCACACAAGAAGACAATTGATAGCCTAGAACCCAAATAATATGGCAAGCACTGGTACAATATCCCTAACCCAAATCACTAATGCAATACAGTGCTCCCTGTGACATGAAATTCAAGATACAGAACTCAAAATACAATCCAAATACTATTCAACAAGGTCAAAGGACAGAAAGAGGAAACAAGCTCCTGAACTCAAAGAGAACAGGAACAAGCTGACTGAAAGACATGAGAACTCTTGCAAAAGAAATAATGAAGATATGGTAGGATGTAAACATCACAATCTATAGAAATAAAAATCTCAGAAATCCTCAACCTGAAATGAAACCAGAAATAAAGAGCTCTGTGAGCCTGACAGTAATTCAATAAAGAGCCTGCCCACCAAGATATAGCACAGAGAAGACAAACGTAAGAGTTTCAATACCAGGTGAAGGAACTGGATCACTCAAAGACATCACAGGTGAAACAAATGGGCAAGATGCTTGCTGCATTAAAGCAGCAATATGAAAAAATTAAAGTGAAATTCTAGCCAGGCTCAGTGTGGAAGGTCTTTGATCCCAGCACTCAAGATGCTGAGGCAAGCAAATTTCAGTGACGCAGAATCCAGTAACATCTCCATATCACATCATAGGCCAATCAGGGCCTTAGAAATAAGCAAACAGAGAAGCCAAACAAGACATTAAAGGTGTCTTTTCTACATTGATATTAAAACCCTCTAAAATGTGCATTTGGGCACAATTATAGCATGAATATTAGAAGATTGATTATACTGGTTAGAATGAGAATGTGCCCCACTGGCTTACGTATTCGAATGTAAGCTCCCAGCTGGTCAAATGCTTTGGGAAGTTTAGTTATTGGAAGACTAGTGAATAAAGCATGACACTGATGACAGGGTCTGAGAAAAGATTACGACAAGCCACCTCAGTTGTCTCTCTCCCTCCTTAGTGACAGTGGCTGAGGATGGAACCTCTCAGCTTTCCATCTCACCAACATGCTGCGTGCTGTCCAGCATCCCTGCCACAATGGACTCTTATCCTCTAGAAGCATTCCCCAACGTAACCTCTTTCTTTGTTAGGTTGCCTTGGTCATGGTGCTTTATGAAAGCAGCAGACAAAAATAAACAAATGAAAATAAAATAAAATTACAGTAAGCCATTTTCTGCTTGAATTTATGGTTTCATTTCAGAGAAAATTCATGTCACGTTTCAAAACTTAATCAAGAACAGGGAGCATGAGAGGTCATGTTCACTAAGGGGGCCCATTACTGTGTTTTCCTATAAAGTCCCAAAGACAAACTTCCTTTTAAATTGTTGTATACATTTAAAGTAAAGTACTGTGCTCAGACTTCATGAGTCAGGCTTCTTGTTGGTGTGCAGTTTGTTGACACTGTCCCATTCTAGTTTCTAGGAAAAACTGTATGTTCTATTTCTTAATAACTATACTGGACACTGGATGGTGGTGACATGTGACTTTAATCCCAGCACTCAGGAGGGAGAGGCTTGTGGATCTATGCATTCAAGGCCAGCCTGGTCTACAAATCATGTTCCAGTACAGCCAGAGCTGAAACACAGAAGAACCCTATCTCACAAAAAAAAAAAAAAAAACCCTTGTATATTATAAGACATAACTTGTACAAGGCCTCTTGTCATCTTTTCTTTCTTCTTTATTCTGATCCAAGACCAAAGAACATGCTGGACGAAACAATGGGAAAATGCAAGAGCTAGAACCAGAGGATGGAGAATATGTAGTGAAAAACTTCTGGACCTGAGTCCTCTATGTTCGTCAGCAAAATGCCTCAAAAGATTGAGTCCATCAGCACTTCATCAAGGCTGAGAGGGGCCCTGAGGTTGGGACCATAACTGCCTGTCTACAGGCAGTTCGTAGCAGATAGTGAAGGGGTATCTCCTTCAGAGGTAGAGCCATTTAGGAGAAGGGGATCAACTTTTAACCTCCCAACCATGTTCACACATGGTTAATTTAGTTAAATATATAAATTTAGTTAAATTTTTAAAGAAATAAAGGAGTAGAACTGATTTAATTTCTGCAGCTGCCTTCTACAGTATTTGAATAAAAACTATTAATTGCACCAGGATTTAGCCCAGAGTTTTAGGGTCTCACAAGTGCCCTCTTGATACCAGGCTCTCTGATTTTATTAACAGCCCACACATTCACCATTCCAATCAAAGATGGAAAATTTTTTCCCATGTTCAATTCATTTGTCTCCACATTTGCTCAATAACCACACAAATTTTATTTTGCAAGAAACAATGAAATGACAGACACTAATGAACTATACTTGACACTCAGGACACCTGTTACAGCTGGTCAGTGAGCAGCTCATGTATCTTGTGTTTCATTCTGAAACCAATCTTCTATCTGGAATTTCCATGCTATAGACCTTTAGTAATAAGCAAAATTCTCAACTAATTTGCACAGAGATCCTTTCTCTGCCTAGTCAGTGTACACACTCAAGATCTTCTAGTAGCTAATCTTTCAGACAAAGCAACAGGAAAGACACAATCAATATGGATCCAACTTCCTGCAGTTGCCATGCAAGTCAGTGTACAGCTTATTCAACAATAAAACAAGCAAGGAATCCATATAAGTTTCAACTATCAGAGGTGGTTTTGTATGAAATTACTTCTTCCTATACATTCCTGCAGACTTGGTTCTATGCAGAGATTAAAGTACTGACAAAGCAATGTTCACCTAATGAAACTAAAAGAGCGACGCTCTGTGTATTAGAACTAAAGCTAAAAAGGGGATATTGCAATGTATGACAATGATGGCAGTGTTACCTTATACAGTGCTCAGGAAAGTCATACACAAATAAATCAGAATTGAAGAGTTCTTAGAAATAACTGAATAAATCAACCATCTGCAGGAAGTTTCCTCTAACAGTGTCTGAGGACTGGACAGATTAGCATGGAATTTTCCTTTCCTTAGGCAAACATTGCACTAATGTCAAAGGGAGAATATTGCCTAAAACACAAAGAAGAAGAACACTAGAAAGTCATCATACAAAGCTGGCTTCCCCTGGACACGTAAGGCAGGAGAGCCCAAAGAAATACATGCAAAGAAAAATCGCAGACCAGTTCCCAGGACCTCCAGACACAAGAGATTTTAAATTTCACAAAAATGAAAGAAAAGCTGAGTTCACACCGACAACTCAAGACTGTTTCAACACTTAAATCAATGTAAGACACCAATGATGTGGAGACTGTGAGAGAAGAGAAACTACTGTGTCAGTAGATACATGAAAGCCCTGAGCTAAACTATAGCATTTGCACAGTACAAAAGCTCTCAAGAATGTGAGGACAGAAGGAACATACCTCAGAATAATAAAGGCAAAGAGCCACAATGCTAAAGCAAACAGTACAAAACAAGGAAATTGTAATTATTCCACTCTAACCAGGACTAACTCAACACAGTGCATCCGTTAGTACACAATTGAGGAAGAAGAGAGAAAAGCCAACAATAAGGTCTTAGAAGAGAATCCATTACTGACATTAGATACATGATGAAATGTCTCAGTTCACACCCATAACCTGATGCTGCTTTAGGTGTGGGTCAATGAAACTTTATTTTCAATGGGCAACAGTAATTTCAGAGTTTCAAAACTAACCAAATACTGAAGGCTTACTGTATTGCCTATAACAGGAAATTCATATTACCACACAAAATATTATTCTCAGTGAAATCTTCTGTAATCATTAATTAAAGAAAAACTGGCAGGGCTGGAGAGATGGCTCACTGGTCAACAGCACTGACTGCTCTTCCAGAGGTCCTGAGTTCTATTTCCATGAACTGAATGGTAGCTCACAACCATCTGTAATGAGATCTGATGCCCTCTTGTGGTGTGTCTGAAGGCAGTTACTGTGTACTCATATAAGTAAAAATAAATAAACCTTTATAAAACAGAGAAACTGGCAAATAGAATTTCATGTCCTGTCCTCTTTCTACTCTCACTTGAGATCCACTGCACCCCTTGCTCAATCTCTCTAACATACCTGAATCCTCTGATATAGTCACCATCCAGGGCTCTGAGTTCTGATTCACAGGCGGCACATCAGGCTGAGCAGTGGGAACCCGCATATGAGAAGGAGATTCTTCAGAAAGCACCAGGAACTTTTCATGGAACAAAAATGAAAGATGTTCACACGTGCCAAAAAAAATAAACATGAAGGAAAGAGACAATACCCTGACAAATGTCCCTTTTTCTCTGAGGATTTCACTTTACTCTATGAAATGTGAGATTCGTTCACAGAGAGTTCACACACATGCAGAGTCATTTTCCCAGGAACCCTGAGAAGCAAGGAAGACTGCAAGAAAACTATTCTGACGCACAGAATCCAGACTGCTGCACTTCTCTATAAGGAGGTTTCTGGAAGGAAAAAAAAAAAAAAAAAAAAGCTCTGACAGCAGTGTCTAAGAATTCTCATGCCTGCAAGAAATCCACAGTCATTGAACTCAGTGCCAACAAATTATGAAATAAAAACACAGCAGTTTGGCCACATGTGCACGGGCACAGTGCTTTTCTTGACCCAAATACAATTTTCTGATGTAAGTGAGCAATCATAATTATTGAAAAAGTGCTTTCTAATTTTGTTTTAACATATACTGGGTTTTCTATCTATAAAGAGAGCCTGGCCAGGTCTCATCCTCTCACAGCACGCACACTGGGCTGGCCAAGAACTTGTTAGGTCTCAGGGAAGCTCAGGATAAATGGCTGACTCAGGTGCCCAGTAACATTTCTGATAGGCTACTTCTCCTTCAGTGAAATGAGCCAGTTCACTCCAGATTAGAATATATTATAGGCAGGTTTACTGGGAAGCTGTTCTAGAGGGAGTTCACTGGCCCCTAGGATTGAGGCCAGGGGAATCACCATGGGGGTAGAGAGGAGAGAGAGAGAAAGGGCCAGCATGAAGAGAGAAGAGCAGAACAGAGAGTGGGGGAGGGGAGTGGACAAGAGAAGGGCTACAGAGCATGTAAAATCTCTGGACTATACAGGGAAAAGCCTCTGAAGGCAGCTAAGCCCAGTCCCTGGACTGCGAAGTTCAGAGTTGGGGCAGGGTATGCCAGGTAGGGACTGAGGGGTGCTGGGGAGAATCTGGAGACCAGGTCTGCTTGGATATGTAAAATATGCACCTCAGTTCATTGTCCCAGGGTCCAAAAGGAAACAGTATCAAAGGCGGCATCTTTGCCTAGGTGCTTTCTTGGCTCCGGCTCTCTTCGCACTTCTCTTGCTTCCTCCAACTCCCAGCCTCTCTCTCCTCTCATGGCCAGGTTCACTCTGGACCCTTCCTTTCTTCAATCAAATCTACAATAGTTCCTCATATTACTAACAGCTACAAAGCTCTCTGAAGAAGCCAATTTCCTAGGCCAAAGGACACTCTCTTGCATAGGCAAATGGTGGCTAAGGGGAGGTAAAATGCATGGATGAATTTGAATTCCAGCTTTGCCACTGCTGTAGCGAAGACAACCTCGTGTACAAACTACACATACTGCAAATGCTCTAAGAGATAATGTTCAAAACTACTGTACCAACCAGAAGACAAATGAAAACGTCAAGATACACCCGGGTTCACAGGACATCAGAGGTCAGTGTCCTTAAGAGCAGAAGCAGAAAACTTACACCTGCTCCGCTCCCGCCTGTTTCCCTCCCACCTGCTTCCCTGTCCTGCAGCTGCTCTGACCTAAGAGGTTCAGGGCTGCAGTTCCCGCCCCTGCTCTGCTAACTGCTGACTCTCCCAGCCAGCAGCCAGGAAACTGCGTGTTAGAATAGTTTTAGGGTTTCCAAACAGAACCAGGCCTGGGGGGGTGGGGGGAAGACCTGCGGATAAGGAGCACGTGGCTTCTCCAGGTAGTAAAGGCAAGGGTGGATTTTCTTTTCACTCTGGCCTAGATCTTTGGAGGAAAACCAGAGAATCATAAAACATATTAAAACTGTCTACTCCACACAATTGATAAAAATCTAAAAGAAATGGATAATTTAGGTTCCACATCCTAAAGTGAAATCAGCATCAGATAAACAAATAGACCTATTTAACCCCTAGTAAAATAGAAGCAATCCTTAAAAGTCTCCCAACAACAACAACAAAAAAGGGCTCAGGGACAGATGGTTTTAGTCCAGAATTCTAAGACTTTCAAAAAACAATTAAAATTAATACTCAAATTATTCCACAAGAATCCACCCAATTTATTTCCTGGGGCCCCAGTTAACACTGATACCCAAACCATATAAACATGCAACTAAGAAGGAGAATTACAGACCACTTTCCCCTATGAACATCATGCAAGAATGCTTACAAAAAATACTTGCAAAGACAATGCTAGAACACATCAGGAAGATCATCAACCATGATCCAGAAGGCTGTGTCTCAAAGATGAAGGGATAGTTCAAATTACAAAAATCAATAAATATAACCCGTCATACAAAACAAACTACAGAAAAGGCCATGATCACCTCATTACATGCACAAAAGGCCTTGACAAAATCCAACAGTTTCACCATAAAAGTCCTATAGAGATAAATAAATAATACAAGGGACATACCTAAATATAATAAAGGCAGTTTACAGGAAACCTAGAGTCAAGATCAAATTAAATGAAGAGAAACTCAAAGCAATTCCAATAAAATCAGAACAAACCAGACTGTTCACTTTTTCCATGCCTATTCAATATGAAACTTGAATTCTTAGCAAGCACAAAAAGACAGCTGAAGGAGATCAAGAAAATAGACATTGAATTACAGAGGAAAAAGTCAAAATCTTCTTATTTGTAAATGATATAACAATATATATAGGTGACCCAAAAAATTCCCCCAAGGAACTGATAAAAAACTTTCCCCAAAATAACTGAATACACAAAAATCAATAGCCTTCCTATATACAAGTGACAAATGGATTTTACAGAGAAGAATCAGAAAAACAACAGCTTTCACAATACCATCAAATAATATAAAATATGTTGATGGTAACTCTGTGCAAGCAAGTGAAAGACTTGTATAATTAAAACTTCAAGTCTTTGAAGAAATTGAAGAAGATATTAGAAAATGGAAAGCTCTTCCAGGCTAGTGGATCAAGAGGATTAAAATACTAAAAAAGTCCATCCTACCAAAAGCAATATGCAGATCAAGGCATTTCTTATCCAAATTCCAACTCAAGTCTTCATACATTTTAAGTGGGTAATGTCACTTTGATATAAATAAGCAAAAAATTACAAAACAGCTAAAACAATCCTGAACGATAAAAGAACTTCTGGAGTTCTCACCATGCCCAATGTCAAGTTATCAACAATGCTACAGTATAAAAACTCAAAAATACTGGTAGAAAAAAAAAGACACCTTGGTCAATGAAAATGAACTGAAGACCTAGACATAAATATATATATGGCTATTCTATTTTTGATAAAGAAGTCCAAAATACAAACTGAAAAAAAGATAGCATCTTCAACAAATAGTGCTGGTGTAACTGGCTATCTACATCAAGAAGAATACAAATGGATCGACAATTATCACCCAGGACAAACCTCAGGTCCAAGTAGGTCATAGACCTCAATATAAAACCAAACACTTTGAATTTGACCAAAGATAGAATGGTGAAGAACAGTGAACAGATGTCACAGGAGAAAACTTTCTTTAAAACAAAAGGGAAAAGAATCAATAGCTTAGGCACTAAGAACAACAATTAATAAATGGACCTCAGGAAACTGAAAAGTTTCAAGGTGGCATACCATCATATGGACAAAGCAGCAGCCTACAGACTGGGAAAAGATTTTATCAGTTCCACATAGTAAAAACTCAAGAAACTAGATGTGAAAAGAAAAATACAAGTTAAAAATGGGTTATAAATCTTAACAGAGAATTCTAAATGGAGGAAAGTCAAGTGGCCAAGACAAACTTGAAAAGTATTCAATCAGGAAAATGTCAATCAGAACAACTTTGATATCCCATCTTATACTTGTCAGAACAGCATGTGAGAGAGAGCTAATGCCAGTAGGATGTGGAACAACAGAAGCATTGCTGCACTGCTGGAGGGAGTGCATACTTGTGCAGCCACTAAGGAAATCAGTGTGGCAGTTCCTCAAATTGATGGGAATCACACTACAAGATCCAGCCACTCCAGGGCATATACCCAAGGACACTCCCACCTACCCAAGGACCCTTGCTCAACCATGCTCACTGCAGCTTTACCCATAACATCCAGAAGCTGGAATCCACCTAAGATGATCCTCTAAAGAAAACGTGGGACTTTTACACAATGGAGTACTACTCTGCTATGAAAAGAAAACCTGACGTAACGGTTTACGTCTCTAGAGCCACCAATGCCTCAGAGGCTGTCAATATGGCCAATTACAAAGCCATCAACTGTATTAAAAGTATAAAAAAGAATACAAATTGCTAAGACTCAAGGAAGTTTTTAAAACATTTGCTTTCATGAGACTTGTTAACTATTATGGCAGGTAAGAGGAAAAGAAAAATCTATCAACTAACAAAACAAAGGATATTAACAAATGATCAATCCCTCTAACATACCTGGATCCTTTGCTACAGTCTCCTCTCTTCACCATCCAGGGCTCTTAGTTCAGACTCACAGGTCAGCAGGATTGACTGAGGAGTGTGACACCTGCATATGGGAAAGAGTCATCAGAAAGCACCAGGAACTTTTCATGGGACAAAAATAAACGATGCCTCCAACAGGATAAACATGAGGGAGAGAGAAAATGTCACAAATGAAAATGTCTCTTTTCCTGTAAGGGTTTGAATGTGCTCTGTAAGATGTGAGATCATTCACACACAGCTCAGAGTCATTCTACCAGGAATCCTGAGGAGGAGCTGGGGAGGCTACAAGAAAACTCTTGTAACCTACAGAAACCAGACTGCTGCACTTGTCCAAAGGGAGGTCTCTGCAAAAAGCGCGGACAGCAGGGTGTAGGCATTCCCACTCCTACAAGAAGTCCAGTCACACCACAGACTGTTAACAAACCCTAAAATAAAAAAACAACTGCTTCACCCCATGTGTATGGACAGAGTGCTTTTCTTCAACCAAGGAGTCAATTTAGTGATAAAGGCGAGTGATCATAATTATTCAAAAGTTGCTTAAACTTTATTTTAATCTACAGTGGCTTTCCTACTTAAACAAATAGGGTGGTCTGATAACAGTCACACAGCAATACTGGGCTTGCCTGGTCCTAAGAAATAACATAAGAACTCAGCATATGAAGACACATTTCTGAATGCTTTACTTACATCCTAAACTGCATAGAACTCAGATGAAAAAAATTCATAGCCACTAAGAATCCTTCTTAGTAAATGTTAATATTTACTGCAATAACTGTAGCGATCGACAGATTATAATTTCTGGTTCAAAAAAATGTGCACCTTTTCCTCATACGATAATTATATACAAAGGTCTCGGAGAATGCCTATTAACCAGGGCCAAAGGCGATCTCTTAAATATGCAATTAGTAAAGCGAGTAGTTAGAAAGCGCGAACGGATTTACGTTCCAGGAGCTTTGCAACTGATACAATAACCATCAGCGGATAATGCAACTGCTCTACTGGATTCTTTATGAGTATTTTATGACTGAACATTGTGGTAACTGTAGGATAAAAGAAAAAAAAAACACGATAAATCCCAGTTCAAGGATCTCAAACTTCCCAACAATGATAAATATCCACAACAGAATTGTGAGAGCCGCCTCCTAAGAGCAGCTGCGGAAAACACCCCCTGCTCCGCTCCCGCCCGGTTCCCAGCCCCGCAGCTCCTCTGACCTGGAAGGTTCCAGGGTCGCCGGGCTGCGGTCCCCGCCGCTGCGCTGCTGACTGCTGACTCTCCCAGGCCCACAGTCTGTGTGAGAGTTTTCCCAGGTCCAGGGCAGGGAAACCAGCCAGCGGTTAGGGAACAAGTCGCTCACTCAGGTACCTAAGGGAATGGTGGGTTTTTCTATCAGTCTGACTTGATTTTTGGAGTACCTCTCCTAGACCCGCCCACTACACCCCGGTTCCGGTCACGTGGTTCCCCCAAACCTCACAAGACAGGCGCTTTCTTTTCCTTAATTAATATCTTAGCGTCCATCCAGCTTTTTTATTTTTTGCTGTCTCTCTCCCCGCCGGGCAAGTATCCGAGCCCCGGAGGTTCCTGTCCGTCCCACTCAGTCTCAAGCAACCTGCCTCAAAGCTCCAGCAGTCAGGCTGCCCTGGACCTGCTCTGCTCAGCCTCCCCTATGCTTGCTGCCTGTTAACACCAGAACTGGATAAGTAAGGAGGCTGCACGCCAACAGCTGAGCCCCATATTAAGTTCTGAACCCCAAAGATTAAAAAGATAGGCAGTCTAACGTTTTAGATTAGAATACAAGCCTCCTGGGCTAAAAACGCTCAGCAAATAGCAACCAACACCCATAATTCGATTTCTTTCCTTCCATTCCCTACACAAAATACTAAAAAAAAGGCAAAGGCCTGGCTCCCTCCCAAAGCCTGTCCCAAAGCATACATAAAATACAAGAAACACCTTCTGCCCCTGCCTGGTCCTCTGGGCTGGAGCAGACACAGAGTCGGTCTGCTCCCGTCCTGTTGAGAAACTGAATCCTGAGTCATCCAGGAGCCACTGCACTCAGAGCAGCTGGTAAGAACTCCATCTCACTCCCTAAACCCCAGAGATAGATCGGGGAGCCAGGGACATTCAGGGCACAGCAGCTACCCAAACCCCGCCCCTCCGGAATTCCACTTCCCTTCTGCCCCTGCCTGGTCCTCTGGGCTGGAACAGACACAGAGTTGGTCTGCTCCTGTCCTGTGGAGAAACTGAATCCTGAGTCATCGAGGACCCACTGCACTCAGAGCAGAAGGATTTCCAGATCCAACAGGTGGCCTGAGTCGCAGGAGTTATTCCACCCAGGAGATTAGGAGCATAAGACCACAGAGACATCTGGACTCCGAGGAGCTCTGCAATAAGCAAGATAACTGGAAATACAGACTCCAGTCTTACACAGTGAGGGCAGGTACCACTAGAGTTAACCAGATGGCGAAAGGCAAGCGCAAGAACATAAGCAACGGAAACCAAAGTTTCTTGGCATCATCAGTGCCCAATTCTCCCAATATAGCAAGCCCTGAACACCCCATCACACCTGAAAAGCAGGATTCAGAATTAAAATCACTTCTCATGATGATGATAGAGGATTATAAGAAGGAATTAAGTAACTCCCTTAAAGAAATACAGGAGAGTACAAGTAAACAGATAGAAGCCCTTAAAGAGCAATCACAGAAATCCCTTAAAGAAATGGAAGAAAACACAAAGAAGGAATTAAACAAAAACATTCAGGATCTGAAACTAGAAATAGAAACAATAAAGAAAGTTCAAAGGGAGACAACCATGGAGATAGAAAACCTAAGAAAGAGATCAGGAGTCACAGACGCAAGCATCACCAACCGAATACAAGAGATAGAAGAGAGAATCTCAAATGCAGAAGATACGGTGGAAAATATTGACACAGTTGTCAAAGAAAATGCAAAATGCAAAAAACTCCTAACTCAAAACATCCAGGAAATCCAGGACACAATGAGAAGACCAAACCTAAGGATAATAGGTATAGATGAGAATGAAGATTCCCAACTTAAAGGGCCAGTAAATATCTTCAACAAAATTATTGAGGAAAACTTCCCTAACCTAAAGAACAAGATGCCCATAAACATACAAGAAGCCTACAGAACACCAAATAGACTAGACCAGAAAAGAAATACCTCCCGTCACATAATAATCAAAACATCAGATGCACAAAACAAAGAAAAAATACTAAAAGCAGTAAGGGAAAAAGGTCAAGTAACATATAAAGGCAGACCTATAAGAATTACACCAGACTTCTCACCAGAGACTATAAAAGCCAGAAGAGCCTGGACTGACATCATACAGACCCTAAGAGAACACAATTGCCAGCCCAGATTACTATACCCAGCAAAACTCTCAATCACTATAGATGGTGAAACCAAGATATTCCATGACAAAACCAAATTTGCACAATATCTTCCCACAAACCCAGCACTTCAAAGGATAATTGATGGAAAATGCCAACACAAGGAGGGAAACTACAACCTAGGAAAAGCAAGTAAGTAATCTTCCAACAACCCCCAAAAAAGATACAAACATAACTTTACCTCTAATAACAAAAATAACAGGAAGCAACAATCATTTTTCCTTAATATCTCTTAACATCAACGGTCTCAATTCCCCAATAAAAAGACGCAGACTATCAGACTGGATACACAAACAAGACCCAGAATTTTGCTGCATACAAGAAACGCACCTCAGTGACAAAGACAGACACTACCTCAGAATAAAAGGGTGGAAAACAATTTTTCAAGCCAATGGTCCCAAGAAACAAGCTGGAGTAGCCATTCTAATATCAAATAAAATCGACTTTCATCCAAAATTAATCAAAAAAGATAAGGAAGGACACTTCATACTCATCAAAGGAAAAATCTACCAAGGTGAACTCTCAATTCTGAACATCTATGCTCCAAATGCAAGGGCACCTACATACATAAAAGAAACTTTACTAAAGCTCAAAACACACATTACACCTCACACAATAATAGTGGGGGATTTCAACACCCTACTGTCAGCAATGGACAGATCATGGAAACAGAAACTAAACAGAGACACTTTGAAATTAACAGAAGTTATGAACCAAATGGACTTAACAGACATCTATAGAACATTTCATCCTAAAACAAAAGAATATACCTTTTTCTCAGCACCTCATGGTACCTTCTCCAAAATAGACCATATAATTGGTCACAAAACAAGCCTCTACAGATACAAAAAGATTGAAATAATCCCTTGCATCTTATCAGATCACCACGGACTAAGACTGGTATTTAATAATGACAAAAACAATGGAAAACCCACGTACACATGGAAACTGAACAACTCTCTACTCAGTGATGACTTGGTCAAGGAAGAAATAAAGAAAGAAATAAAAGACTTTTTAGAATTCAATGAAAATGAGGACACATCATACCAAAACTTGTGGGACTCCATGAAGGCAGTGCTAAGAGGAAAGCTCATAGCTCTAAGTGCCTACAAAAAGAAACTGGAAAGAGCACACACTAACAAGTTGACTGCACAACTAAAAGCTCTAGAACAAAAAGAAGCAAATACACCCAGGAGGAGTAGAAGGCAGGAAATAATCAAACTCAGGGCTGAAATCAACCAAATAGAAACAGAAAGAACAATACAAAATATCAATAAAACCAGGAGTTGGTTCTTTGAGAAAATCAACAAGATAGATAAACCCTTAGCCAGATTAACCAGAGGGCACAGAGACAGTATCCAAATTAATAAAATCAGAACTGAAAAGGGAGACATAACAACAGAAACTGAAGAAATTCAAAAAATCATCAGATCCTACTACAAAGGCCTATACTCAACAAAACTGGAAAACCTGGATGAAATGGACAATTTCCTAGAGAGATACCAGGTACCGAAGTTAAACCAGGAGCAGATAAACCATCTAAATAGTCCCATAACCCCTCAGGAAATAGCAGCAGTCATCAAAAGCCTCCCCACTAAAAAAAGCCCAGGACCAGATGGTTTTAGTGCTGAATTCTATCAGACCTTCAAGGAAGACCTAATACCAATTCTCTTCAAACTATTCCACAAAATAGAGACAGAAGGAACACTACCCAATTCGTTCTATGAAGCTACAATTACACTCATACCCAAACCCCACAAGGACCCGACAAAGAAAGAGAACTTCAGACCAATCTCCCTTATGAACATCGATGCAAAAATACTCAATAAAATTCTAGCAAACCGAATCCAAGACCACATCAAAACAATCATCCATCATGATCAAGTAGGTTTTATCCCAGGAATGCAGGGATGGTTCAATATTCGGAAATCCATCAATGTAATCCACTATATAAACAAACTTAAAGAAAAAAACCACATGATCATCTCACTAGATGCTGAGAAAGCATTTGACAAAATTCAACATCCCTTCATGATAAAAGTCTTGGAAAGATCAGGAATTCAAGGCCCCTACCTAAACATAGTAAAAGCAATTTACAGCAAACCAGTAGCCAACATCAAGCTAAATGGAGAGAAACTTGAAGCAATCCCACTAAGATCAGGGACTAGACAAGGTTGCCCACTCTCCCCCTACCTATTCAATATAGTACTGGAAGTCTTAGCCAGAGCAATTAGACAGCAAAAAGAAGTCAAAGGGATACAAATAGGAAAGGAAGAAGTCAAAATATCGCTATTTGCAGATGATATGATAGTATACTTAAGTGACCCCCAAACTTCCACCAGAGAACTCCTAAACCTGATAAACAACTTCAGCAAAGTGGCTGGTTATAAAATCAACTCAAACAAATCAGTAGCCTTCCTCTACATGAAAGATAAACAGACTGAAAAAGAAATTAGGGAAATGACACCTTTCACAATAGTTGCAAATAATATAAAATACCTTGGTGTGAATCTAACCAAGCAAGTGAAAGACCTGTATGACAAGAACTTCAAGTCTCTGAAGAAAGAAATTGAAGAAGATCTCAGAAGATGGAAAGATCTCCCATGCTCATGGATTGGCAGGATTAATATAATAAAAATGGCCATCTTGCCAAAAGCAATCTACAGATTCAATGCAATCCCCATTAAAATCCCAACTCAATTCTTCACAGAGTTAGAAAAGGAAATTCTCAAATTCATATGGAATAACAAAAAACCCAGGATAGCGAAAACTATTCTCAACAATAAAAGAACTTCTGGAGGAATTACCATCCCTGACCTCAAGCTGTACTACAGAGCAATAGTGATAAAAACTACCTGGTATTGGTACAGAGACAGGCAGGA